CAGTGAGGGCTCTGCTGCCGGCTGGGAGAGCAAGGGGCCGCTCGTCGGTGCGGCGTAGAGCGAGGCACTTGTCGGCTCTTTCCCTTGCAGCGGGGCAGTTCCTCAGGGACTCATAATTGGCTTCTGTTCCTGTCAACTCGTTCGAAGTACTTAAAGCTGGAGTACCAATAAAAGAAATTAAGCACTACCCCTTTGTTGTAACTGCATTTTCTGCATTGCACCTGTTTCCTGCTCATGGCCAGCACCTAAAGACACACAGGTATTTTCAGGCGGGAAATTTGGCCTGGAATTCGGGGACCTGATTGCTGGACTTCACAGACTTAATTAGTTCCAAACAGGCTGATGAAGAGTCATTCTTGAAAAAACTATTATTTCTACTTTGGTTGAATGGTATACTTTCTTCTGCCAGTGATCTGTGATAGGACTATCCTCTATGTAGTTCAGATCCTCTAACTTGTTTACTTAGTGCAGGTGCTTGTCCTACTTTATGTTCCCATTTCAGTGAGTTTGTTTTGCCATAAAAATGTTGCCATAAAACTGGCTTATTTTTTTCAAAGATAAACCAAAAGAAAACTCTTTGCAAGCGAGTGACGAAGTGATTAGTGAACACTCAGCAGATACGATCTTGGCAATGCAGGTCACCTCAGATATGTGAGCACAGATAGCTTCCATTTTTATTAGTGAATGCTATGTAAAGTCTCAAAAGACAATTTTTAGTAGCAGTTCTTTCTGTAGCTCCTGTCATTACGCCTATTTGAATATGGGATGAATTTTGATCAGGTTGGGATGGGGATTTTCTGGCAACATGTTGAGATAACTTTATGCAACAATCTTGGAACTCAGCCATTTACAGCCAATAAATCAATATTATTCTGTGTAAACAAGTTCAGTGCCACACCACAAGTCCCTCGCGGTGCTACATATAGGTACATAATTGTGTAGGTTTGTAAGAGTTTTTAAAAAATAAGTGTGCTGGGCAAAAAGGGGAAGAGAATGGATATTCTGAGAGTTAATAGCCAAGATGGTAATGTTAATCTTGAGGTGTAACTTAGAAATTACACCTGCTGTTGTATGGCTTCATATTATTTAAGAGATCTCCACAAATCAAACTATCAGCATGTTCTGTGGAGATCTCTTAACCACCTTTCACTACCTAGACTGGGCCAAACAAGAAAGCTGGGGAGAGGGACTTTTGGCAGAAGCATGGAGTGACAGGATGAGGGGGAACAGCTTTGAACTGGAAGAGGTTAGATGCAGAGATATTGGGAAGGAGTTGTTTACTCAGAGGGTAGTGGGGCACTGGGACAGGGGCACTGCCCCAGAGACATTGTGGGTCCCTTTCTGCTTGTCATTTGAAAGGTGTCCCTGCCCATGGCAGGGAGGCTGGAACTAGATGATCTTTAAAGTCACTTCCAACCATAGCTATTCTGTGATTTTAGGTAATGATCACTGGGAATTTCAGTTTTAATATGGAGTAAAACATTGTCTGCGTATCTCATGCTTATATTTTGGTTTTAAGCTTGCATGATGGTTTCACAGTGACCTGTAGGTAGCTTATCATGTATGGGATGTCAGACTGCAAAGGCAGCAAATAAGGTAGCCAAGAGTTTTTGACAGAACACGACTGTTCATGTCAAGAAAACTAGGCCTGTTAAGGAAGGGGGACCTGAGTGAATTGCCCCTATCACCTTTTCCTTTCAAGCTGGTCTCTTCACTTATTTTGCACTTGCAGATTTCATGTCACACTCTTCTTTTGCCTCTCCTGACTCTCTGCGCCCAGTTTCTCTGTTTTCTCTCCCTGTAGTAAGCAGGAGCATGTTTTAGTCCCTCTCCTGTTTTTTGTCACGTCAGTGACTGACTGACTTTTCTTATCTGAGCTAATTTCTTCTGCTGAGTAAGGGGAGATACGTTACAGTGCTCTTAGCGCTTCTGGTCTGTATGTGGCCATTAAACCACCAGTACAATGACTAACTGTGAAGTATTGGTACCCTGTCTATACCTTTCCCATGCCCTCAGCTATCTTCTGTAACTCAGAGTGTGAAAGTGAACTACCTTCCTGGGTTTTTTTGCTCTAGTCTCTGGCATCTTCAGGATTTTCCTCAACCATAAGGGTTTCTTCAGCTTCTTAATCTGTCCCTTTCCCCACTGTAGTTTTCTTAGTGGACATATTTTATACATTTAAAAACAATATCAGGTAAAAATTGTGGTTCCATTCTATATTTCTTTCATCATTTTTACTGCATATAATTTCTAAAATGGAGCTAAAACATCTGTTTTCTTATTTCATGCCTCTTTCTAGTGCATTATTCTTTGGCTTTGCTGCAAGGCATAGGAGGTCTTGTGTAAGATAACAGTCTTGGATATGTAGAAAAGTAGTCTACAGCTGCTGCAGTAGTTACCATGCAAAAAATGGAAACAACTAGAAAATCAAATGTCATGTGTTCGCTTTTTGCTAGTTGTACAATGATGGCAGCTTCTATAGCTTACTCACTGAATTTTGGATAGACCTACCTCTGCTTTTGTTACTTGCTGATTCCAGACTTGAAAAGAACTTTCTGTAA